GTTAATGCTAGTTAAATAAATGTAATTTGTTTGAACTTAGGCTATTCATTGAGTCGTTACTGTATGACACCCGAGGAGAGAGCAGTCAGCGTTTAAATAAATAAAACTGGAAGAGAAGACACTGTCTGTTCTTTGTGAAAAGTGGTGGACACTAGCCAGTATCTAAACTTGAATCATAACACAGGCAAATACTTGCACCTATAATTAAAGAGCCAGCCAAGAAAACTGTCTATCTATGGAGGTCATAAAACTGAATATGTTTAATGAAAATTGTTCTAAGAAAAAGAATGATGCTATAAAATAACAAGAAGTGCTGCTAAATAAAGCATTTCTTTCTGAAAAAGACTGACAAGATTAGCCATGCTTTTAAGAAACTCTGATGAAAATTTCTTAATTAAGGTATATTTCCCAACTATGCTTAGAATAGTTTAGGAAAACAAACAAAAAAAGTCCAATTCTGAAACTGTTGAAACACTTTTATTTTATTAAGGCTAGAATATTTCATATTTGAAAAAAATGACAGGATATTTAAATGTAGATAATTCTACTATCTTATTTTCATATGAAAACTTTACTTAGCAATGCACCTTTAGAAAAAAATCTGTTCATTGTCCATCACAAGTTGATTCTGAAATAAAAGTTCACATTTAACAGACATCGTCAGGCCAATGGAATGTTAGGCATGAAATTCTACTTTCCCATTGGTTACTGTACTGATCATTAATTTGGGGAAATTATTAGTACCATAAACAGCAAGCCACTACATTCTGGGGGAAAGGAAAGGTTAAAATATTAATAGAGCATACTTTTTTCCAATTCTTGAAGTTTTGCTGAACTAATAAACTTCGATATAATCTGTGTTACAGGTATTTCCTGTCGGTTAATAAGTGACTTGGTTCTTCAACTCCCAAAGCTGATGATTAAACGGCAGGAAACTCCCTCTCCCTGTTATGGTTCCTGAAACTCAGTCCAAGATATCTGAATCTATGAAATGTGGGTGTTTAGTGTCATCTTGGAATGTCAAGAAGACCACTATAAAATTAAAGTAACTCACATCACTGAGTAGGTAAACTAGTGTCACTCCTTTGAATGAAATCATTTTGAAAATTTATAGATGACTGTGATACCTGAGCATGAACCTGATGTATTCTTGTAGTCTTAAGACTTGGGAAAGGAGTTTTAAATATGCTGTTAAAAACAAAACAACAAAACGAAACAACTCATGGGCATGGCTGTGTTTCAATAAAACTTGAAGAAAATAGATGACCTGCCATAGGCCCTCCTACTTTGTCAATCCCTGGTCTACAGAATTTCTCAGAGAAATTTAGGAATTCTTGTACACTAGATCCCTCACATTTTATTATATTAAGGTACTCAAGAAGCATTGCAGAAAAGAAACCTTATTAATTTTAAAAAAACACAAAGACATGTTAACATCCTGGAAAGCTAGCATTTTCCCGCAGAAGGCACTCTGGCCAGAAGAGACAGCTCCTGGATCTTCTAGTTTTCACCTGGGTGAGGATTAGCTCACCTGCTCTAGCACTACGTCCCGTTTTCTAGTCCTGCTTATCCTGAAGGACAGTCTTATTTATCTGGTTAAGAATGCATTGCTCTAAAACCAGTTCCTGAATTGGCCACATTATTGAAGTGACATTGGTTAAATTCCTTAACCTCTTTGGGTCTCAGATTTCTCTTCTGCAAAATGAGGTTAATAATAAAACCCACATCATGAGATGTATGTTGTAGAAAATGAGTTAATATGTGTACTAGTAAAGTGCTTAAAACAGTACCTAGAAAATAATATATGTATTCAATTAAGTATAAATTAAGTGTTAGCAATTACTAATATACCTAGCTAATTCTTTTCTTTTTCTTTTTTTTTTGTTTTGTTTTGGTTGCCGAAGTCCTCAAATTCTGCCCCACAAAAAGACAAATGCTAAATGGTCTTCATTATGACTTTTAGTAATGACCCAGGACATGGTGAAAACAGGCCCTTCTACTAAGGATGCAGGAAGAGTCCCACTGCCCTCCCCTCCTGTCCACCATCCCACACCAAACACACACGCTGGACCTTCTCGATTTCCTCACTGAGTAGAAGACTTCTTGGGGATCCCTGAAGGTGCTCTGCTGCTAATCAGACCGAGAGCAGCTGGGAACACCTTTAGCTCTTACAAAGTCCCACAGTCTCCTTCTGGAACAGGGTCGTGGTTTACCCTCTTTCCAACAACCCACAAGGAAATAACTGGCAAATGACATCACTTAATAGCCTCCCAACATCTGCAGCAGCACCATGACCACACGGAGAGGTGGGTTACCCACAAAGATGGGTAGGTGACAGGAGTTCCCCAGGCCAGCAGGGCAAACACAGGTCAGGGAAACTGGGGAGGTGGCCTCAGGTCTTCACAATGGGGCCTACTTTCTTAAAAATATTGGTAACAAATTTCTGAAAGAATCCCTTCCAAGGTCACATACAAATTACTTTTTAATATTAGGCCACTTCTCTCCTTTAATGAGAATTATTTCTGCAACTACAAATTATATTTATTAATACCTTAGCTTTAGTCATATAACATTCAATATGATAATGTAACTTTCACATTTTGTATTTTATTAGTCCTGTAGTAAAATAAGGACTCCCAAAATTAACTTAGGTACCCTAGAGAATATTTGATAGAAGTCTATCCTATATAATAAAAGCATAATATGCAAATCAACTGAATGGCAGTACGACCAGTCGGTGGGGGGCGGCGCCAGGCCAGCCAAGGCTCGTGCCAGCAGGCAGGGCTAAGTGGTGACCAGCAGCAGCAGAGGAGCAATCAGGGGGTCGGGGGATGGGGTCAGCTGCTTGCCAGCCGCCGCCAGCCTCTGATCAGCCCACCCCATTGCCACGGGTGGGACGATGGGGGCAGGGCCGGCCGCTCACTGTGATGTCCCCTGATTGGCACGCTGGTCGCCTCCCACTGAGGGAGGCCAGACTGCAGCTTAGGCCCACTCTCCACAGAGCGGGCCTAAGCTGTCAGTCAGACATCCCCTGAGGGCTCCTGGACTGTGAGAGGCTGCAGGCCGGGCTGAGGGACCCACCCGAGTGCATGAATTTTCGTGCAGCGGGCTTCTAGTTTTAATATAATTATGCTACACAGAATTATTTTCTCTAAGCATTTTGCATTTAGCTACATCTAATATTATCACATTTAAAGTCTCTCAAAAAGCAATCAAAGAGGAGAGTATTTGAAACAAATGACAAAGCTCATTTTCAAATAAATAGAATAAAAGTTCAAATAAAACAATGATAATTTCTGATTATCAAAGATTTTCCTTAAATGGACAGTTGTGATGTTTAATACTGACTGAGTAAATATCATGCTTTTAGGTGGTGGTGGTTTATTTAAATAACATAATAAAAATCAGCATTTTGCTGTATCATCTATGTAATTAAAAACAATAACTTACTAGTTTCTTTTTTTTCAGGTCTGGCGTTAATATTTCTATTTGATACATGATAATTATAACTATTGTTTGTTAGTGATAAACTGTGTAATATTTTATGACATAAAGAAAACTTAAAAATGGTATAATCAAAGGCTTTGATTGAAAAAATATGGCTTATAATAAAACGTTTACAATGAATAACTGAGCAGATAACATTTTAAAAATTAAAAGAGCTAATTAATGCTAATTATATATATGCAAATATATATATATATATACATGTACTTATTCCACATAAATATATGCATAATGTGTACATACATAATTTTATATACATATATGTATATGCAATTTTTTGTTGACAAACATATTCATAGAGCAATGCTTTAGAAAAAGAGTTAATAGGCCACAGACTTACCACAGCTTAGGTTGCTTTCAGCTTTCAGAGCTAGGGTTGGGATATTCCAAAAGTCGTTTTGCCAGTCGACCACATTCCCTTTCACATTACAGCTGAGGTTGAAGAGGATTTTGGAATTCATGGAAAAATTCCAAAGTCGAAAGTTATAAATGTCCGCTTTTAGAGAGGCAATTCCATTTTGATTGGAGCCCAACAACAATTTCCCATTCCCAGAAATAACTTTATTAATGCTAGCATTGCATAGAATTATTTTGTGCCATCTTTTGAAAGTTACACCAATATAACCAAAAGAATTATTCCAATCAAAGCAGAACTGCTCAAAGCTTTCTGTGAAAACGTCTTCTTTACCCTTCACAGGTAACACGCTGTTTAGTAAACATTTTGAACCAGCTATAGCTAGAAAGTAGCCACTCTTGTCCTTTCCAAAACTGAGTAATTGTGTGAAGGATGCATTTGAGTAGGAGAAAGCCATCCATTCACTGTCTTCCTTGCCAATTCTGGCTGCTTCAAAACAGAGTGTGAAAGCGCTGAGCTCCGGAATAGAGACAGTTTTTGCAACAGACACCTGGTACACATCTAGTGTCTGGGGTAAGATGACCTTTTGATTCCTTAAGGACACAGCGACTAGGACAAAACACAATAACAGATAAAAGATGTTAACTTCAGATACGGACTAATGAGAGATAAAATGCCTGATACACCCAACCACACCATTAATTGACTTTTTTCCCTATGGCTCTCCTCTTTTGCTGTTCATCTACCCTCTATCACCAACCCATTACCTTATACCAATATTAGTAATAGCAATAAAAAATCCCACCCATTTAAACTCTAATCATAGTTGGATATCACACTTAAATCTTTGAGGTACAACCAGCCAAGTTAATAACAAGTATATTTCTTCATCCCTGAACTGAAAGAAAAAAAAATAATTAAAAAACTACTGGTTTCAAGAAAGCTCTATTCATATGTAAGACTTTTAAAAAAATGTTAGTTTTCAAATAATTTCTAAATATAATAACTAATAGTTCTATTTTTCATTAACAATTGCCTTTCTCCTCTTCAGACACCCCATATCCTACTCATGTCCCCCATCACAAGGGGATTTCAGGAATGAAGGAAAAGACACTGCCATTGAGGAGAGGGAGTCTAGTAACACAACAAACAAAACTGTAATTTGAAGCACTATTTCCTTTACATTTGAGCTGGTTTGTGAGGAATAGTAAGGGGCAGTGGTTCAAAGGGCAGACGATGGAGGTCCCTATCCCAGCCCTTCCACTGTGCCCTTGGACAAGTTATTCACATTGTTCTACCCTTGTCTTTTTATCTGCAAAATGAAGGACCATGGCGCCTATTACACAGGTGGTCAATAGGAATTAATTAAGTTAATGCCTGCAAAGCACTAGGGCAATGCCTGTGCCATATCAATCTATAGCTAGTACTGATTACTAATGTAGATTACTTTTATGATATGCATAATAAATTCAAAATAACATAAATTAGCCTCGTCTTCCTGTGACATATGTGAAATGAAGAAATAATACAATGTATTTTAGCCCGATGCTAATATAATAGACACTGTGAAACATCATCAACTGATTTGAGAGGGAAGCAGCTCTCTTCAAAAATACTGCTTAATACTGGTTTCAAATGAACAATACTTTGAATATACTTTAATATACACCAAGAATAGGTTGATGGTAAGAAACATCATTTTATATAAATATTTTAATTAAAAATCCATGATGGAATTTAATAGAATTGTAGATTTTAGTCTACTTTTTAAATATAAAACAGTTCACAGGTCTATTTACCCAATGGGATCTTATGCAATATGAACCCAGTATTCTACATATGTTGTTAAAATATGGAGCAAGGAGCAAGCATGTCCATCAATATTTTATTAGTGGTTATGGCTGAGGGGGGTATATCAATAGGTATTTGTAATTTGATCCTTTCTATTTTCAAATTTCCTATAATATTTTATCATTTTAAAAACATTATTTGAAGAATTAAAGCATGTGTTTCAATTAACCACATATCTATCAATTACAAACAGCAAATAACCTTGCCACCAAAAACACAATTTATAATGATGACTTATTTTCATTGTAGTGCCTTTCTTTTTTGTTTCTTTCCTTGATACATGATATCTACTTAAGAAGCTCAAGATAAAAAATAGTATAACTACATCTCACAGTTTTGAAGCTTGCATTCTTCTTAAGCAACGATGGGTTTTAGAAAGAACAGAATTATTTAAATGTTAAGACATGCCAGATCTGGGAAATGTATTTGATAAAAATGTATTTTCTTTCCTTCAACTGCCATTTTTCAAGAGGCTTTCCTCAGTTTATGTTGTTTATTAGCAGTAAGTAATAAATAGCTCTTTTAAAAATTTTAAATTCTATGCTAATTTTTATATTTATCCCCTAGCATAGTTCCTTAAAAGGCAACATCTTAAAAGCCTAAAAGAAAATGATTTATAAATAGGAATGTTTTAAGCATTCAGTAGAGAGATGTTAAAATTACAGATTTTAATTATTAGCTGTGGAAAATCTACTGTCTTCCAAGCAGCCTTTATATGTTCTGCATGTAAACAATATGAAGGAATTCAGCTCTACTACAAGCAGATCTTTTTGGATATGCTAGCTATCTATTGCTAGTGAGAATACTCAGAGAATATTAACAACTTCCTGCCCTTATATTCTAATCCTAATCATTCACATTCACATAAAAGAGCATAAGTCTGGCTTCTGGTTCTGTGTTTATTGTAGAACATGTTAAATGAAAGCAGAAGGTTGGCACTGTCTTTGGTTTACATACCTCTGATGTAGCTGGCATTGAAACCTTTCTTCTGGATGCTAAAGTCACTTGAAAAGGACACAAGCATCTCATTTGCACTTGAGTTGAATGATAGGCCTTTGGCAGTTGCTCCACAAAATTTCTTCTGGCTCTCTCCATTATCAAGGGATAATGAGTCATAAATGCAATTGGGCGCTTCTTCAATGTCGAAGTCATTAAACGTTATCTGAATGATATAGCCAGCGGGGGCTCGGAGGGTCCACATGCAATACTGGGCGTTAGGGTAGTCGTTAGGGTAGCATGGAGAAGTAAAGGTCCCGGAAGGGTTGGATAGCACAAGCCTGCAGTTGGCACATCCCCACACTGTTGGCCAGACAAAAAAGAGACAAGAGAGAAGGGCTAGGATCAGAGGCCGTACAATAATCCAAGAATACCACATGCTGGGGACAAACAGTAAACATTTTAAAATACCAAAACATAATCATGAATATTAAAAGGGAAACAAAACCATCTCAGGGGAAAAGAAGCAACAAAAATAAACCAATAAACATCAAAAAGTGAAAAGAAAAATACATATTCTAGAGCAATTATTCTTAAACTGGTATGTGTGTGTGGGGTGGGGGGGGGGCATGTACTCTGAGAATCTGATGAAAGGTATGGGAAATGTTTCTAGTAAAATGCACCTTTGGCCTACATTTTTAGGATTGCATGAGGCCTCAGGAGGCAACAACAGACTTCACAAAGCTTCACTGAGCGTAGGTAAGAATCTCTATTCTAGATAGTAATTGAACTGGGTTCGAAGGGGTTACAGAACCAGAAAGGTAGAACTCAATATTATAAACCATGGATATAAAGGAAGAGAAACAGGAAGTAAATGTTTAAAAAGAAAGCAACCAGAGATGGAATTGCTGGGTCATAAGGTAGTTCTATTTTTAATTTTTTGAGGAACCTCCATACTATTTCCCATAGTGGCTGTACCAATTTGCATTTCAACCAAAAGGCAGGTAGGGCACTCTGGTTCCCATCAATAGACGGTTGCATAAAGAAAATGCAGTGCACACATGCAGTGGAATATTACTCAGCTATAAGAAAGAACATAATCTTTTCATTTTCAACAACATGAATGGACTTAGAGGGTATTATGCTAAGTGAAATAAGTTAGACAGAGAAATATAAATACCACATGATTTCACTTATATGTGGAGTCTAAAGAGAAAAATAAACAATACAGAAGCAGACTCACTGATACAGAGAATAAACTGAGGGTTGCCAGATGGGAGGGGATATAGGGCTCAGTGTAAAAGGTGAAGGGATTAAGAAGTACAAATCGGCCGAAACCGGTTTGGCTCAGTGGATAGAGCGTCGGCCTGCGGACTGAAGGGTCCCGGATGGTAAAAGGTGAGCACTAGAATTACTGGGGGTATCACTTCCTATATTGTAGGTCTACCCACTATGCTGTACACCTAAAACTAATATAATACTGAATGTCAACTGTAATTGAAAAAAAAGAAAAAAGAGAGAGAAAACATCCAATACAAAAAATAAACAGGTTATCTTCTGGCAGACTGTATTTTTTCTAGAATTCAAATAAATAGCATCACTTGTGTGAAATATTTATAGTTTTAAAAATAGTTTCATTTACCACAGTTTGTAATGATATACTTGTGTGATTATCTTATTTATGCATACATTCAGTAAATATTTATTGAGTGCCTGTTATATACCAGGCACTATTGTAAATAGTATATACCAATGAACAGGAAAGAGGAAGTCTCTGAAGGATTATTACATATCATATCCGTTTTGGATCCAAAGGCAAATACTATAATGACACATGGTAGTAAGAGGTAAATGTAAAGCAATCAATTATTTCTCAATTATGATTTATCCAAGCTCTGGCTTCCAGGTAGAACCAGAAACCAAGGTCTACCGTTATCCCAATGCCTTTGCAATTAATATTCATACTAATTTTAAATATTGGCATAAATGTAGGCCATAATTCCATTTATCCAACATTCTGTATAAAGTAATTGCCATAAAACTGACACAGAAATTTTCAAACAATAAAGTACTTTCCACTATGATAATGGAAATCACTCTAAATGACGTCCCTCCCTTTTTCACAGAATTGAGCAGAATGAAGATGCAATAGCTTTTCTTGAAAATGATAGTCATAACAAATATTATTCCCTATATAGTGATATATTCAAGGATGTATATGTTATGCTGCTCAAATTACCTTTTGCTTTTGTCTTTTCCCTGTAGCCACCTTGTGTCATGCACTGTTTTTGTTTCATGCACTGCCTTGCCAACTCTGCTCCCCATCTATTCTTGCTAACTTGCCCCCTCTTAGCTCTGCCTCCCTAAATTTCCAACATCTTGTACAGGCCCAAAGACAGCCAGGAGAAAGCAATTTATGATCATCAAGTGATCTCCAAATGCCTTCTCTCATCCATCCCTGGACCACAGAGCTCCTCTCCCTTGTAGCACTATTCAGAGCAGTGTGAGATTATTTGCCTACTGTCTGTCTTCTCCTGCTGTCTCTAAATTCAACAAGCAGAAAGTATGTACTGCCATATTCACCATCTTACTCCTTATAGCATCCCTGACACATGGAAGACCTTTGACGAAACTGATAAAACTTATGAAAAAATAGTTTAAATGAATGAGAAAATGCCTAAATTAAAAATGACTTAATATATGAACCTAACTCAAACAACGTCTAAGTCTAAAAAAAAGATAAAGGGTGTGTGAGCTCTGGAGTATCTCTTTAGATGGGGCTTGGGGTTCAATTATTTCACCTCCAGCACGGGACCCAGATGACTGGACTTTTCTGATAAGGCTAGCTTCCTGTTACTGTACCTTAGGCTCAGGAAAAGAAATAATTTAACACTAATATTTCCAGTAATATGCACTGAAGATTAAAAAGAAAAGCAGCCCAGCCAGCATGGCTCAGTGGTTGAGTGTCAACCTATGACCCAGGAGATCGCAGTTCGATTCCCAGTCAGGGCACAGGCGTAGGTTGCAGGCTGCCCAGTGGGGAGCATTCAGGAGGCAGAAGATCAATGGTTCTCTCTCATCATTGATGTTTCTATCTCTCTCTCCCTCTCCCTTCCTTTCTGGAATCAATAAAAGTGTATTTTTAAAAAAACAGAAAGGAAAATAAATTATTGTCTTTGTGTCATCCCAGCATGTATGCAGGCAGTATCATTTATCCAAAAAGAGATGCCATTCCATGTATCCAAGACCCAAGTAATATTCATGATATCCTTTATCATGATATATGATTCTTGCCAAATTCTTCCCTCAGAATTGAATGAAAGATACAAGAAAATTCAATTTGACTAAAAACACTGACTATGTAATTTTGAACAAGTTCACCTTTCTGTGCCTCAGTTTCACCAACTTTATACAGGAGATAGTAACAGCACCTGTCTCCTAGGGTTATTGGGAGAACTAGAATATTGTGAATATTGTGAAGTTCTGGGAGCTGTACAGGAATAGTGAGCACTACATCAGTGTTGGCTATTATTCATCATAACTATAACACACAATATGTGCATCAATAACTTAAGAGAGGAAATAGCACCCCACCTTGCTAGCATCTCTTTTTCTCTGAGGCACTCAGTGGGATAAAAAAGAGAAAGAAGAAACACCCATAATGTCCATTTAAAAAACAACAGTTAAAGCATTCGTTTCCGTGATTCTCATCTCCAATAGCTAGACAGAGTTTAGAGATAGTGCTACTAAATAGTGATTATCTTAATTGGGTTAAATGTCAATTAAAGTAAACACAGTATTGTCATGTTCATTATCTTTACAGATCAATTCACATTAAGGGGCTCTCACATATATTACCTCATTTGATATCATAATAACCCTGAGAAATAGTTCCACCTCCATCTTCAAATGAAACAAATAAAGCTAATATAGATTACATAATTTGCCCAAATTACATATCAAATTCATAGCAGGACCAAGAGTCAAACCAGCTCTTCTGAAACTAAGTCTATCGTCTTTCTAGGAGGGAATAAAAGGTGCCACTTTAAAAAAACACAAAAGACATAGTAAAGGGGTAAAGGGGTAAGCCCAAGTACCCTTTTAAGAGACAATATTTTTCAATGGGCAATTTCGTAAACATAGTACAATCACACCCAAATTAATATGTTTTAAGAGGCTAATTGTGAAATATTTTTTAGTAAAGAATGTTAGACAATCTAAAACATAGTGCTTAGGATTTTCCCATTTGGAGAAATCAAATGTCACTACTAATTGATTCCTATACTATGAGCTAATTAAGAAATTAATTTGTTCTCTCTTAAAGGCAGGGCTACTACATCTCCTAAAAGATGGCTACTGAAGTACCCACTGAATGAAGCTGTGGGTGACCAGAGTTAATATATTTTCTAAAAACTACCCAACTCAAGTCCTGCTTTATTTGGCTCAGTTGGTTGGGGTTGTCCTGTGCACCAAAAGGTTGCAGGTTCAATTCCAGGTCAGGGCACATGACTGAATTGTAGGCTCAATCCCCGGTGAGGGGTGTGCAGGAGGCAACCAATTGATGTTTCACTGTTCTCTCCCCCCCCCCCCCCACCCTTCTTCTCTGTTTAAAAATCAATAAAAAATATTTTTAAAGAGCTACCCAAATCAAAACATCTGGTTCCAGATGTTCTAAAAAACAGATACAGTGGGGCCTTGACTTACGAGTTTAATTCGTTCCGAGACCGAGCTCGTTAAGGAACTCGTTAACTCAAATTACTCTGTCAACTCAATGCAAAAAATCTGCCCAGAGAAAGCTGGTATCTCAAAAAACTCGTTAGTCGGAACACTCGTAAGTCAAGGCCCCACTGTATAGTAACATATTTATAATTTATAAAAGCAAAGTTTTCAGGTAATTTAAACAAAACAAATTTCACCTTCAGTGCTTGCCTATGCTTGTGGATGTTTGACAATAATCTACTCATACATACTTTTACAAAATTTTATTTTTCAAAGGAACTCAAACCTAAAATGGAAAATCTCCCGGTCATGCCAAAGCCTATCTTAATTTATAAACATTTAAATATAGATTCAATAACCATTATCTTATGGGGTTTTTTTTTAATCTCAGAGATTTGAATTTCTACTCCACTCTTGATCCAAGTACTTCTCTGTAAATAAAATATGAAGTACTTTAAAATTTTACAAAAACAGGAGTTTCAGAACCCAGGAGCTAAATCTAGAGATCAATTTTAGCTACTTTCAACACAGATCTGTAGATGGAATAATTGTTTTTCCTATACTGTGTTAAATGCTGAACAAGATGAATGCATTCAAATTAAATTTTGTTCTTTGGTTGAATTTCTGTGAAATTTTCACTAATG